GAGAACGGTGAGGGTGATGGGAACGGTGAGGGCAATGGAGGAGATGTGGACGATGAGAGTAACGGGGACGATAGGAGCAATGGGGACGATGGGGACGGTGGGTAATTTTTTTCTTTTTTTCGATCGTAATTTAACCTAAATCTAACATTTAAATATATCTAACAGATAACTCCGTATATGAAATTATTTGGGTACTTAAAACTACACGCTAATACGAAATCTAATAAAAGTAAGTTTTTTGGGGGTTTTTTTTAGAAAAAAAATCTTTATAATCGTGTATTGACCTTGAGCTTACCTATCCGCTAAAAAATATTTAACAGATAATAACTTGGCATATAAAATTATTTGGATGGCTCAGAATAGCGTGTTAATATTAAATATGCGGTGCAGATTTTTTTTTTTTATTCGTTAATGTTCATAATCGCGGATGCTAACTGAATATATTTTCTAGATTATAATCGCCGGGCAACTTATAAAAAGGTAGAATTATAAGGGAAAATATTTGATAATAAATTTGCGGCATGATTAATCGAATTATTTTTATTTATCTATATACAAGTCATTCGATATTAGTCATTCGATATAATAATTTTTTAAAATAAATTAAATAATACGTAATTATATAAATAAAAAATTAATAAATAATTTTATTAGAATGATTTTTTAAATTAAATTAAATAATACATATCGATAATTATATAAATATTAAATTAATTAATAAATTTTATTGGTTATTTTTCATATGATCTGAAAATCCTTTTTTTATCTGATGTCTGAACCAAGCCGGTATTGGTCGGATGCACATGATCTGGCACTTTTTTTTCGCCATGACTAGGGTACTACAATTATACTATATCTCAAATAATTATTTTAATAAAGTTAAACAAGGTAAACATCTACCCATTAAAAAAAAATTAATAAATATATTACTAATAATTTGATTAGAGAAAAAAAAAATAAAAAATATTAAAATTTTTAAAATTATAAATAAATATATACAGTATATATAGTATATGTATAGTATATAATTACCTGTGTAAAAACGTGTAAGATACATATGTGGACCTAGGTCACCTACGGCTGGGTAAGGCCCTGCTAGTCGAAATAAAAAAAAAAAAAAAAAAATATGTATAGTATATAGACCTGTGGATCCATAGCACAGTGGTTAGTACTCCACAGGTCAGATCACAAGATACTGGTTCAATTTCATGTGAAGGCGATTGAATAGATTGATATGGTATCTGGCACCATAGTCAATTATGTGCTGTTTCTTATAAGAAGCCATTTCACACGTAGATCCAGCGAACATTGAGATTGTAATTTTTCTGTTAAGGTGTAGTGGTGTGACGATCTTCTAGTTGGTGTTACGATGGTCATCAAATGAAAGGTGTCATCATATATTTAAATGTACAGACTGGGTTGTACTCCATCTTATCTAACTCTTATTAACTACCAACCACAATCACTCATTTGGATACACAGACTGGGCTATGCTCCATCTTAACCAATCCCAATCTGTCACTTCCTCTTCTCTTTCCCTGCTGACTAGCAAATAAGGAAGCTTTGAAGAAGAGCACCATACCGACACTATCGTTTTGTGTGACATAGACCACCTAACGGCTGACTGTGTATATAGGAGTTGCATCCTGCTTGACATTTATGCCTCTAGATTTGGCAGCCTACGCCAACTGATTCCAAACTGGAGTGTCTACTAGGAGATTTAGGAGTCACACTCCACTTGGCCACAAGAGCCCCTAGATTTGGCAACAAGCACCAACCAGCGAACCAAAACCAGAGCATTTACTAGGGAGTGTATACCAATGTTAGATCTCTCTGTCACATTAGCTACGTGAGCGAAAAGGTGTAATGTGATAAGCAACCTTAGGAAATAGTTAGCAATATTGACAGCCCTCACAAATTGAACCAATAGGTTAGGTGGTTTAAACTAGTGGTAGGACTTTCATCCCCTAGTTAGGTTCCCCCAAAAAATATGAACCCACTTCATAAGTGTTACTAGTATTGCTGGGGCAACAAGTAGATAGGTTAGCATTTAGCTGTTGTAATAGCAATAGACGATGTTTAATGTATGTGTAATTAATAATTATTCAATAAAATCCTTGCATCTAATACCATTCTATTATAAAAAAAAAAAAAAAAAAAAGTATATGTATAGTATATTAAAAAAATCATGTTAGTTTTATATTTATAAAAAATTTTTTTATTTTATTATTATTTTTTTTTTAATAATAAACTATGATTTAGTACAAAAAGATTCATACCTTAATATAAAAGGTTTTAATTTTGGTAATATCAAATCCATATACAGTAAACCAAACAAATCCATTTTCATATAATGGAAAATTATATTTAGATAAATTTTTTTTTTTACAAAATTTATCATTTCCACATATCTAGTTTTTAAATAAACTGAAGTTCCGCATCTCTAACAAAGAATAAAAAGTGGATGATAATAAATACTCACAGATACTTTTTTAAAGCTATATCTATCAATAAGCAAAATTAAAAAATAACATTATGCAAGCAAGTTGCTCTAGTTACAGAGGTTTTTGAGAGTACAGTTAGGGTTATATTGTCTGATTGGAACTAATGTAATGATGGCAAGTTTTCAGGTCATCAAAATATTGAGTAACCAAAATTACAACCAGATAAAAATATAACATTACTTTTGAATATTTATATTATAAATAACAATAAAATAGGAAAACTTCTTTCCATACTTATATTACGGCAGTTTTTTTCTAAACAAGGGTATACAATTTCCAAGTGGCAACTTTTCTAAATATTATATCAGTTAAAATATTATTATGGTCAAGGAGAATAAAGAAATATTCTTCATAAATCATCAAATAATATTGCATTTTGCTGTTATTATCTTCATTACTGTTTTACTAACTTAGAAGGCAAAAATAATGTTTTGCATCTTCCAGAAGTTTTTTTTGATGAATTATATTGTCATTTATATCACATATTATAAAAAACATGAGTACTTTATCATGGTATTGTTTTAACACCAGGATGTAATTCATTATTAATAATTTTTGAAGCAAATGTAGTTTTTCAAAATAGTGGCATTAACAAAATACATGGTGAGTTTGTATCAAATTCTATTTATATTTGGAACTTAGCAATCAAATCTCTTGAAACTCAAGAACAAAAACAAGATAGTGTTAAAGAATAAAACAGTGTTTTAGATATCGTTAAAGATGCTAATATTATTTTTAATCAAGTTGACTATCACGAAAACTTTAATGCAGATATTTTTGAAAACCTTTTTACAATACTTTACAAAACAATTAATCAAATGTATAGCCAAGTAAATATTCATATGGATGGTATATGTTACTATAAATAACAAATTGAAAATATTTCAACTTTAAGTATCAAAAAAAAGGAAATAGTTAACTGGTTAACTACCTATCAAATTTCTTTTTCAGATGAATTATGTAAATTCGAACTTCTGGAACTTGTACAAAAAAATAAAGAAAAAATTCCATTTGCTTATGTTGAAATAACAAAGTAGTATAATTATTAAGTTTTTTTTATTTCTCCTTACTATTGTAAGCTTTAGCCAATTGAGGATGTTTGGGTGATAGTAAAAGATGAAGTAACAAAGTCAGGCCTACATTTAAATCTTTTAAATATTAGAAATAAGCTTTTACAAGTTTTTAAAGAAAAAATAACATCAAAAGTAATAGTAGGATTATGGAAAAAGGTGCTCGCAAGAGCAAAAGAATATAAAGAATCAGATGACAATATGATTTTATTGGATGAAGAAAATGATAATGATAATGATTTCGATGATGATAATAAATTTGAATAAAATTTTATTATATAATAAATCCAAATACCTATTGGTTTTTTATTTTTTTTTAAAAAAAAAATTATTATGTAAAAAAAAAATTTATTGCAATTTTTGTAAGGTACAAATCTTTTTGCACTAGACCATATTTACATTGAAATTTGTATATATGCACATATGTATTATAATGATGAACTGCAGGTGATAATCTTTAATATCAAACTCCATAGATGGATAAATAGAAAAGAGAGCAATATTTTTCATCTCCAAAGTCACACCTAGAGACATTTGTCTAAGACAGGTGTTCAAGGCAGTAGAATAGTTTATGCAATACAATATACAATATTATATATTATTTGTTTTCTGAAAAGATTTAATAAACAGTATGTGCTTGTTTGACTACAGAAAAAAAAAAAAAAGTATATATGCACATGTGTATTATATGAATATATACAATTTAAAATTTTTAAATTTATATTAAATATGCAATGTTCATATTTAATTTATGAATATTATAATTTTAAATCAATAAATTGTTATTTCAATACGGCTTACAGTATTCTTTAACTCTAAAATCATCAGAATCTAATTGGAAAAGTATAGACCAATAATTGGTTACGCCGATTGTGCATACATCATTGTATAAATTAAGTTTTTACAAATAATTGTGGTGAGTTTGATATTTATAATAAAGGAGTTAGAATTTGATTACGTTGGTAAACTATGACCATTTGAATTTCGAATTTAATTTTACAACGATCTATGTAATCACATTTTTGGATTATAATAAAGTATTACTTTAAAAACTTTTTAAAAATGTTTATATTTAAAATTACATTTGCAAATAGTAAATTGTGTCTTCTCTTTACGTATAATTCTCAAATTATTAATAAGAAAGTTAATATGAACAAACAAATACTGTATTCCGGTGGGGACTAAAACAATTGTAAAAAAAACTTTCGATTCTCCTGACCCCTGGTAAATGATATCATCGTAATCAACAAATTTCCTAATTTAGAGTACATATGATTTTGATCGTGGCTTTTATGTCTTTTTTAGGTGCAACAATTATTTCAAACTCACCATTATTTGTACGCATTATTTTTTTTGTATTTTGTACATTAAAATTGTTATAAAAATGACAAAAATTTGTGAGAGATATTTTTAACACTCAAAAAATATGACTCAAAGTAACGAATTCTCGATTGATTCGGAAGTTGGTGATAATTCGAACTATTCTCATCGACAAAACAGCCAATCAATATCTTATACAAGATCAGATAACGATGTAAATAATGATGAAAACAGTATTAACCCACCACCAAGTTACGAAGAATCGATAGTACATGCATTGAATCAATTTCAATTCACCTCAATGCCGGTCTCTTTAAACTCCCGACCTATACAAGGGACAAACGAAAGACTACCATTGTTGAAAAATACGAGCGAAAGGATAAATGGTGACCCACTAAATTCAACGTACTATTCAACGATCGATTCTCCTCAGATCAATGAACTCAATATATTGAGGGACGATTTGCCGAATTTTAGAGTTCCAGAAGTTGAGTTTGATTTGTTAGAGAATGGAGTCAGTTCCTCGGATTCGAGGTTGAATAAAGATTTGGGATCGTTATTTGAATTTTTCATTGAACATAATGACAAACCGGAAATGGCCATAATAATTCAAGGTAGGTCTGGGAATTCATCTCCTTTCAATAAAATTAATTAATCTTACGATCCTCTAATAACTCCCATAGGATATCGTATTCATGGACATGGAAATGGTAAACATAGGAAAAATATAGAAATCATGGATTTCAAGTTCACATTAGATCTAACGGAATATGTTTCATCGCACGGTGAAATTCGTGCTGTTCCCACTGAGAATAAACCTAATCGTAATGTCATACAAGCTTTAGAAGAGTATCTTCAAAGAGACAGCGTGTGGAAAGGTATTGAGATGAGAAAGGTTTGTATGTGAATATGGTCTGGCCACCTTATTTCATATAAAAACTTAACGAAACCTTGCATTTCACACCTAAAGGTAGTCAATTGGGACTATGAGACTATAACAAAAGTCATTGTATCAACCATTCGTCAGCAAGGGTATCGGCGTCAAATCAGGATCTCATACCCTAGTAGAAATAACGTAGTCAGAGTATGTGCTGATGATGGAGTGACAAGATTTGCTAGGAACAATGATTGGATGCAGAACATTTGTTGTTTCTCCTTTCTTGGCGTTTTATTTTGGCCAATAATGTGGCTGCACGAGAAATCATATAAAAATGAATTAATTAGCGAATTCCAGATGAACATATCTCCGAGAGAATGGTTTCAAAGAAATGTTGACATCATTGTTACGAATGTCCGGTGGCTCTGATATTAAATTTGCAAAAGAGTGATAAGTTACTTTTATTTATTTATTTAAACACTTTAATATGTAAGTTACATTACACACGTCTGACTAAAGGAACATGTCATGAAGATTTAAGAAATGGAAAAAGAATCACGGAAACAATAAAAATATTGTATCATGGGTTAAATGGCATCTATTAAATTGAATTTCGAATTTTCGAAGATTTTATCGATCTATCGATTGTTTAAAAATGTATGGTAATTAATGTTTATGTTTCATTTTTTCATTTGAAAAAGTGTAACATGAGACAACTGCGTATAAAACCATTTGTTATATTAAATAATGACTTAGATAAATTTATATTATTATTGCTATAGTGATTTTTAACTTTAAGAATAACCTGTTAATTGTTTAGTAACATTTTTTTTATTATACTGTACTGTTTATAAAAAATCAATTGATAAATATTTTAAGATTTATTTATTACGCACGTAATTTTAAACATTATTATAGTATATGGATAATTATTTTTGAAGGCGACAAAAAACCTAGTATAATTTTTTGAAGGTGTAAAGGGATTTTTGAATACAAATTTGTTTCTAATTATATCGTGCTATGCGCTACAGTCAGCATGGAAAATAATATCCAATTTTCATAAAAAAGAAATTTCAAATTTGTCACTTGATTTATTTTGTTATTTTTTTTTTTAAATAGGAAGTATCACTTTTTTATATTTCATATATACAATGTATACCTTTAGAAAAGAAGCAACATCTCTTAGTTGCAAAGTATATGGTAAGTTAAATGCTAACTTGCTTATTACAACTATCTAATCAATATATTAAAAAAGATTTTAAAAAATATAAGGGAGGCAGGGGTATTATGACGAAGTTAAAGTTTCTAATATAAAAACTTTTTTATTTATTTTTATAAACT